CGCAAAATACCTATTACGAATGATGCACGATCCTCGCAGTAGAGAGCGCTATTTATGCAATAGGGAAAATCAGACCTGAAAAAAATCAGGTCTTTTTTCAGGTCTGATTTTCGCTATTGCATAAACAGCGCTCTCTACTGCGAGGATCGTGCATCATTCGTTACAGGTATTTTGCGTCTCAAAATTTTGTCATAGTTTTGATTAAATTCTGTCCATAACATAATCATACTTAACAGTTAGATTTCAAGAGCCAATGATCTATAATTTTTTTCAATTGGTATGAAGCTAGCTCTCATTCAAGCTTAACAACAAGACAGGCTCATATTTCTTTTTTTTTTCCCTTGCTTTGTTCACTCGCTATCAAGACGGACTAATATAAGTCTACTACTAGCTTCCCATCACAAGTAATGCAATCTGATCAGCTACACTACTTGCTATCTAGCTATTCTTTGTTATTGTCCATCAAAAATTTTTGCTCTCGCACGATTGGTCTAAACACATCACGTGACCGAATATGCCCCAGCTAAAATTGGGGAATATCTGAGGATGTACTTTAAATGATATTCCCAAAATTTTAAACCTTACGTCGCGATTGAATCTTTGTTTTAATTTTTAATTCAAGATGAGAAAGTGTTGTGGTTGTTACAGAAGAAGGGACATGTTCATTTGTGCATAAGGTCGAATCAGACATCACAGAGTACCCGGCATCTGATACTTCTTTCGCTTGATATTTGGAAGCCTAGGCTACCGAATCGCCCGAAAAATGAACGATTAGTCGAGAAGTCTCGAGTGCTACTTAGATATGTTGTAGCCAGTTTTTGAGTTGAATGAATTATTTCTTTCCTGGGTCCGTGAGCGGAATTTCCAGACAAAGAGATAATCAAATCTAGAGTTTTAAATTAAACTATTGCCGTTTTTCTCTATCCGATACTTTTGGATCAAGATTTGGTGTCTATTTCCTATCGTGTTAATATTTTTCATGTTAGTGGAGTCCACCCAAACGGTGGCTACAGGTAGATGTTTGGTCTCAGAATTGTATGACATGCTGCAATGTTTCCAGTGAGATCGCCCCAAATTCATTCAGAGGTTGAATTTAAAGTGAAAGCCTCTATCTTGGCGTGACAGTATCGATGGACATGTTAGGTCTAATTCGAAAACTGAAGGGAAGTCTTAAGAACAATCATTAAGTGAAAGAAGAAAAAAACAAAACAAACAGACAACCTACTGAAGGAGAACTATAGTGCAGTTAAATCTACTCACCAGAAGCAGCTGTCGGAGTTCGCTCGTATGAGCAAATGATGTTGAATTCGGCTTCGTCTGGTTCTGCTGTGGTATTGAAGACAACGTTGCGGTAAAACGATCTTGAA